AATTTCATTGAAATGTGATGATTACTACTTGAAATATCAGAAGCTGAAAATTAATTAATTATGCTAATTAGGTAATTAATATGTACTCATATTACTTAAAAACTATCAGGTCTGTGCAGTGTCCTATGACATCTATGTACCAAGTGTCATTGAAATGTGATGATTACTACTTGAAATATCAAAAGCTGAAAATTAATTAATTATGCAAATTAGGTAATTAATATGTACTCATATTACCCTAAAAACTATCAGGTCTGTGCAGTGTCCTATGACATCTATGTACCAAGTTTCTTTGAAATGTGACAATTACTACTTGAAATATCAAAAGCTGAAAATTAATTAATTATGCTAATTAGGTAATTAATATCTACTGATATTACCCTAAAAACTTTCAGGTTTGTGCAGTGTTCTATGACATCTATGTACCAAGTTTTATTGAAATGTGATGATTAGTACTTGAGATATCAGTGGAAAAGCCGAAAATTGATTAATCATTATGCAAATTAGGTAATTAATATTGCACAGATTTTTACCCAAAACTAATCAAATCTGCGCATTAGTTTGGAGCATCTGTGTGCCAAGTTTCATCAAAATCCAATGATTAGTACTTGAGATATCAGTGGAAAAGCCGAAAATTGATTAATCATTATGCAAATTAGGTAATTAATATTGCACAGATTTTTACCAAAACCTAATCAAATCTGCGCATTGGCCCAGAGCATCTATGCACCAAGTTTCATCAAAAACTGATGTATGGTTCTTGAGATATCAGTGGAACAGTCGGACACACATACACACATACACATACATACATACACACATACATACACACACACATACACACACACACTAACTGCAAAGACTCCCTTTTTGTGCTTCGCACACGGGAGTCAAAAACTACAAAATTGGGCAGGGGGCCCACTTCTACCCACCAAGACAGCACGTGCCCCCCTGAGCAATGGATTTCGGGATCCAAAAGAAGGAGGGGGAAAACCTGTATGAGGCCGCCAGACCTTGAAATGGGGGTCAGGATGAAATCCAATGCCCCAGGCTGGTGGGAAGAAGCTAGCCAAAAAAGAGGGGGAAGAAGGGGATGGTGGTGGGATAACGAGCGAAGAAAATACAATGCTTGAGCAGTGACGCGTAAAAAACAATGAACGAAACTGCTGAACAAAAGAAAACAAAAGAGTTAGGGACGCTACAGTCCGTGTGCTGGCTAGGATTGGCTGGCGAAAAGAAGCTGATTGGTTGAAAAGATGTGAGCTGATTGGTCGAAATAAACAGGCTATGATTGGCTGAGAGCAGAGCATCCTGAATCCTAAAATTGTATCAAGCTCAAGGGTTCCATGTCTTTACAAACTCACACTTGTGCAGGCACAAGTGAACAATTTGTAAAGACACTCCACGCAGTAAACGAGTGAAAGGCAAAGACAAGTTTATTGAGCAAAAACGACTAACAGACACAAACTACAAAACTAATAAAATTACAATTCAATAAGATACAATTCATAAAACTACAAAATTGGGCAGGGGGCCCACTTCTACCCACCAAGACAGCATGAGCTCCCCTGAGCAATGGATTTCAGGATCCAAAAGAAGGAGGGGGAAAACCTGTATGAGGCCGCCCGACCTTGAAATGGGGGTCAGGATAAAATCCAATGCCCAAACGAGGGACATGAGCTGCTAGTGGAGCTCAAGAAACTGCATTCATTAATCTGAGTGAACCTTGATGTACATGACTTCTTTGTTAATTCAGGTTTTAGTATATTACCAGGTTTATTATTTAAAATGTATTCATTGTACATAGAACAACATCTGTTAATTGTTAAACAAGTGTAGAAGCTATGTTTTCAGAGCAAGTACAGATGTACATATAATTTGAGGAGCGTGGTCCTTGGTTGCTGGGATAAGAGCAAATAACTGCATTGATCTAATTTGCATATTTTTGGAAAGGTGTGGTCATTATTGGCAAAAGCACATCTACTCGTGCCAAGGTGCTATCACACCAAATATGAATAAAATCGACACGGTGGTGGTAGAGATAGCAGCAAATAACTGCATTGGTCTAATTTGCATATTTTTGGGAGTGCGTGGTCATTACTGTTAGAAGCACATCAACTCGTGTCAAGGTGTAATCCTACCAAATATGAACTAAATTGGCCCAATGGTTGCTGGGATAAGAGCAAATAACTGCATTGATCTATTTTGCATATTTTTGGGAGGGTGTGGTCATTATTGCCAAAAGCACATCTACTTGTGCCAAGGTGTTATCATACCAAATATGAATAAAATCGACACAGTGGTGGTAGAGATAGCAGCAAATAACTGCATTGATCTAATTTGCACATATTTGGGAGGGTCTGGTCATTATTGCAAAAAGCACATCTACTGATGCCAAGGCGTTATCATACCAAATATGAATAAAATCGACAGGCTGGTAGAGGAGATAGTAACAAATTATTAGGGTTGTACAAACCCGTTTGTTTACCAAATCATACCTACCAGAAAGTCCATGGAAATAATAAATTCCATTTATTACTCCGGAGGTGGGGGAAGTTCCGATGGCTGAAATGTATATTTTTTGACCCCAAAAAGAAAGGTCCAAAAACAAAACTGAGAAATCTAAAGCTACTCACCAACAAGAAGTCTAGTCCCAGGATAAAACCAATTAGATGACTCTTCAGGGACCGGTTGATCGAGGGTAGACCCCCCAATTTAGGGAGGCTACTAAAGCCGGTCAACTGAACAATAAACAGGGCCACCAACAATTTTAACAGTATATTGCTAGGGTTCGATAGCGCTGAACGAAAACCGGTAGCGTCAAGCAAAAGAGGCTGGTTGCGGCTGAAGGCACTATCGAGCTAACACTTTCGCGCATAGGGCCCCTTGGTGGTGTGGGCTGGGTCAGCGAACACAGTCTGACCTGTCACCATTGGATCCAACCTGTAGAGGCCCTCCTGCAGTGCTTGGAGGTCTCAAGTAATAATTAATGAAGACATTCTGAGATCTCCAGAACCCTGCTCGCAGCACCTGCTCGAGCGAGGT